TGCCATCAGTGCCTATAAGTAGGTAACACATGGCGCTGAGTAAGACAATGAGCCCTTATGGACTTTCACAAGGGAGTGAGCCAGTGAAGAATAGTCACTGCCTACTATTAAGTCATTAGTGAAGACTAATGATCACGCCAAACTCACCATATTCTGAGGCAGAGTCATAGCAAAGAACCCAAACCATACTAGAGGGTCCTTGTCATTTATACATGCAAAATACTGGTTGAACACCTCCCAAGTGTTAAGCCCAGTACTAGTCTTTAGGGATAATGGAGTGACCAAGTCTAATCTAATTCCTGTCTCTAAAAGTTTGCAGTCCAGGTGTCTGCTTCCCTGGTCAGCTTAATATGGCAAATGGCTTGATATTGAGAGCCAACATAACTAAATATTTCTGATACACTGAGGGGTAAAAACAGGAGCAAGACTAGAAGTCAGCCTTCTGACTACCCTTAAATAATTAAATAACAAAGTTTGGGGACTTGAAGAGGTGTGGTTTAATTAACAAGCTGTAGCATTTTATCTAAATGATCTCATATCATTCCAAATCTACATAAGCTGGAATGAATCTTAACAAAAGTTCTGTTTGCCAGATAATATGGGAGAGTCAAAGGGAAACATATTAAGCAGAGTTTGCAATTCACTAGATGGAAAGATTTTAAGATATGGAAGTGTTGATGACTTTTAACACTATGATCTTCCTATTACTTAAAAATGAATGTATAGTATAATTCCTTTTGTGTTGTTTAATTTCAAATACAGGCAATTCAAATTTGCATTAAATGCAACCACATGTTTTAGAAAAATTCACTGTGTAGAATATACCATTACCTTAAAATGTCTTAAATGATACATGCATCTAAGCAGAGAAAATATTTTTGCTATTTTTTTCATGAAAGGATATGCATACTCTGTGAAAATACATAAATCATTCTATTTTGCACAATATAAGATGACCATATTTCCTCTAATTCTCTGTCTGCTACTGTATAGTTCATTGAGTTTTATGCTACAATATATGTAAATATCAAGCAGCACAGTGAAAAGTTATATAAGCTTTACTATTGAACACTTAAAGAATGGGTCTATGTCCATTTGAAAATACAAGTCACAAATAGTTTGTGAACTTTGAATGTGCTAAAACAATAAACATCAAAAAGAAATTTGATCCACAGCAATACATATGCCAACAAATACTTATATCCAGGATACTAATAGTTATTTACTACTAGTAAATAATTCACATAAATTAAAAAGAAAAAAGAACCAGACAAACCAACAGGCAAAACAGACAAAATACTTGAACAGACATTCCATGATAAAGGATACCCATATGAAAAGGTGATTAACTTTATTAGTCTTCAGAGAAATGAAAAATAAAAGCACAATGAAATGTCAATACATTCTGCTAAAATGAATAAAATAAAAAGCACAAAAAGTACCAAGTGTTAGTGATGATGTGGAGCAACTAGAACTCTCCTATATTACTGGTGGAACTAATTTTTGAAATTGTTTGGCAGTATCTTTTAAAGTTGAACATATTCCTATCCTATGAGCCAGATATTCCACTTGTAAGTATACACCCGACAAAAATGAACACAAAGATCATCAGAATGACATAGCAGAAGGTCTAAAGGAGCGCTATGCATAATAACCTCAAACTGAGCAGTACTGAAATGCAATCAACAGTAGTATGGGTAAATAAATTGGGGTATAGTCACACAACAGAATATTAAACAGCATGAAAATATATGATCTACAACCACATGCAAATATAGGAATAAATCTCACAATAATAATATTGAGTAAAAAAAAAAATGCCAGGCACAAAGGAGAATGCATTTATGAGTCCTTTACATAAAATTTTTAGTATCAAGCAAAACTAATCTCTACTGTTGTAAGTCAAGATGATGGCTAGCCTAGGGAGAGAAGGAGGCAGAGCTAGTGAGGAGGACTTCTGGAGGTCTGGTAATGCCCTCTTGTTGATCTGGGTGTTGGTTATGGGTGGTCTCAGAGTGAAAAAATTCATATAGGTCTACACTTATGATATGTGCACTTTCTAGTATTATATTTCAAAAAAAAGTTTAAATCATCTAGATAATTGAGTACAAAACCAATTAATCTGATATTTTCTTCCTGATTAATAGGGTGATGAGCAAGACACTACTCCTATTAATGCTACATCAATTGGCAAAAACTAAAATAAAACTAAAGGATGCCTTTGGGTAAATAGAAGTCCACTGTCCCTATATACATGAAGAATGTCAGGCCATTTTCCCCTATGCCAAGAAACAGGTCTACATTATTGTTTTTGATTCTCTTGCTTTTCACATATACAAACCCAATCACACAGGTTTGAAGGTTTCACTGTATTTATATGATCCTAGGGTTGTGTTCCAACACAAACGACAAACTAAAATCAACATGTGAAAAAAACAAATAACAGACATTTGAAGTAGAGACCTGCTTCATTTGTTTTTCTACTCTAGAAGTCAAATACACACGAATATTTTGCCAAAACATCCTTGACTAAACAAAGGTACACACTAGAAGTTTACATTATTGAATTACATAATAAGCCTGGCTGTCTAGGGCTGTAAAGATAAAGCAAGTTTAGAAAAACAGAAAAGGAAAGTCTACCTACTGAAAATCACATTATGTTAAATTCTCAGCCCTTAAGAAGTGTAACAGAAAACAGCACTGTTTTATTTATACAGCCCTGTGAAATTTAGAAATTAAAACAATCAATTAATTATTATATGGAAAAAATAGCATTACTTTAAAAGGGAAGTAATCACTCTCACCTTAGATTTTTCTACCTGATGCAATGTTGTAAAACATCCCAAAATTCCTAAATATGATTCAACCTATGTAAATTCCGAGGCTAACTTCTGTTGTCTGAAGCAAGAAATCAAGCTTTATAAAATATTCATTCTTCAAGGTTTTGTTTCACTTTAGGTTCACCTCAAGGCAACCAATCTGGAAATAAGTTGCCAAGCATCCATCAGACAACTCCAAAAAAACAGATATTCTTTTAATGATGTCATACTTGTGGCCATTTAAATATGAAAGCTAAAGAAGCCTTAGATATTACTTAGTCCACTGCCTTCATTTATTAGATGAGGAGACTGAGGACCCAATAGATAAAATTATGGTCACATAACTAATTGGAGTAGAATCAAAATGTAACCCTTGCCCTCCTGACTCCATTTCATACTCTTTCTCATTTCCCAGATATGGCCATGAAATTGGCCTCTAATTCATGGCCAAAAACTAAATGCAGCTTAAAGTTGAACATATTTAAAACATAGGATATGATCCCAAACTCTAGTACAACAATTTTCCAATTCTATCGTGTAAACAATTTGCACTTGTTTAAATAACTGCAGGTGTTGGGGACCACATGGGGCACTCTACGCCTGTCTGGGCTGGTGACCAGCCAGTTCTGTGCAGAT